AGCCCTGATGTTGGGCAATGCACGCTGTGGAGCACTGCAGCCAACACCTCAGCCTAATTAATGTGGCAAAAGTTAATGAGATCTGAGGGCAGAGTTAGAATACTGCAGTGAGTATAATAACACTGAGCATGGAGAAACCTCATGCAAGGGTTGCCTCGAGCTCAGGATCCTGAGGGCAAGTCAGAGGAGACAAACAGGGAGGACAGGAGGATTGAGCCATCCTTCCCTGCAGCTTTCCCTCCCCCAGGAGCCAGCAGGAAGCTGCACTGCCTGTGAAGCTGGAAGGAAGGCAGCTCACCTGGAAAGCATTGTTCAGCCACAGCACTGAGCACGAGGTGATGCGTCCAATCCGATGCAGATTGCCTGATATCAAGTTGGTTTCGTTCAGCCAGCAGCCAAACACATCATAGGGCTTATTCCTCACCCTGGAAAGCAGCGTGAAGTTCTCTGGAAGGGAAACATGAGAGTGAGGCACTGACTTCCAGCAAGAGCCCTGCAGAAACCGTGTGGGACAGAGGAAGTGGATCCAGTCTCTGTAGGAGGGGCCAACCCCCATCCAGCCCCCAGCCACTGCTACAGAGACAGATTATTTCTCTCTTCTCCAGAGATGTGTGATGATACCTTGCACAAAGGAAACCAAAATAACAGGGCAGTGCACAGAGCCAAAGCACAGAGCAATCCAACCTCCCACCCTTCCCCTGAGCGGGGCCCAGAGCAGGCCCTGGGGACAAGAAGGAGTTAAACACATGCAGAATTTCCCTCCCACCCTGCAGCCTGGGGCCTCTCCAGCCAAGGCAGCTGTGCACTCCTGCTTCCTGCTGCACTCCTGATTGCTGGTACTGTGGGACTGCACAAAGATGGTGAGATAACAGTGGGGATGAGCCTCATGCACAGAGCTGCAGCACAAGTGAAGGAGGCTCAGGGTGAGACCACGGCCACAAGGGTGACCTGAGAGCTGCATAAAGCCACTTTCCTCTGGAGATGGGCTGAGAGGGCTGGGTGTGTCCAGCCTGAAGAAGAGAAGACTCTGACAAGACCTTAGAGCTCTGAAAGAGCTGGAGAGGGACCTGGGACAAGGGATGGAGAGACAGGACACAGGGAATGGCTCCCACTGCCAGAGGGCAGGGATGGATGAGATATTGGGAATTGGGAATTGTTCCCTGGCAGGGTGGGCAGGCCCTGGCACAGGGTGCCCAGAGCAGCTGTGGCTGCCCCTGGATCCCTGGCAGTGCCCAAGGCCAGGCTGGACAGGGCTGGGAGCAGCCTGGGACAGTGGGAGGTGTCCCTGCCATGGCAGGGGGTTGGAATAAGCTGAGCCTTAAGGTCTCTTCCAACCCAAACCATTCTGGGTTTTTGTAGCTCTATGCCAAGCACCACACATGCCATAGGCAGGAGCTCCAAGGTGAGTGATGTGGGTAAGCCTTGCCCACAGTGGCACTTAGAAGAGCAGTGAGGGTAAATACACCAGCACTGCCCTGAGGTGCTGCTGCAGTGACCCGAGCAGAGCCAAGGCTGTCTGTGAGGCCTCCCCTCTAGAGCTGTGATCAGAGCCCCTCAGCTCAGGAGCCAGGACGAGCTGAGACAAGGCACTGCACACCCAAAGGAGAAGGGAACCCCCTCAGCCAGCACTCATATGCCCCGGGGAGCCCCAGGGAGCCCCACTTACCCATGCTGATAACAGCAATCTCCCCTGAGGAGGAGTTGTGAGGCCCCACAAAGACACCGGACACCAGCAGCAGGGAGTCATCCGAGTTGAACTGGGAGAACTGGGTGTAGCTCCAGTTGTATGGCCTCATGTTGGAGCTGTGCTGCAGGGAGATGTCCAGCTCATTGCTCCAGATCTACAGAGAGATGGGACAGTCAGGAAGCTGCTGAGAAGGCTGACAGTGGTTCTCCTTTATCTGTTCTGCCAGTACTCACCAGGACATGAAAAACAAACAGTATCAAAAACCCCATTTAACTGCCTTCTGCTCACCACACCCCTGTCCATTCCCCTGACAGAAAATGGAGAGGGGCCAAATGGAGAACTGCTGCTCCACTGGCCAGAGGAGGTGTTCAGGCAGTGAATGGTGCTATCACAGCTGGATTTCCAGCATGTTCAGACAGATTCCTCCCAGGACAACCACTCAGGGAGGACAGGATCCACTGCAGTGGATCATTATCTCCCCAGTCTTCATCAGACCCAGGGCACAACAGGACACTGATCTGCACCTAGAAAGCAAAGCACCTCGGCCACCTCCACATAGGCTGGAGCTCCATACAGCCCTCAAGGCCACACTTGCAAGAGTCATTTCTTCTATGGCTTAGAAGACAGCTCAGCACCCACAGGAAGCAGCCCAAGTCCAGGGACATCTGGTCAAACCTCTCCACAGACTTCCCAAAGGCTGCTCAGGGCCAAGCCCCACTGGACCAAGGCTGCAAGAGCCAGACAGGGCACCTACCACTTTACCTTGACCGTGCAGTCTTTGGAGCACGATGCAAACAGGCAGCCAGAGTGGGAGAAGCTCAGGTGCAAAACTTGGTCATTGTGCTCCTTCAGGGCCTGCACCTCCACGCAGGGGATGGTGTCGTAGAGCCTCTGGAACTCCTCGTACCACGAGACAGCACCTGCAGCACAGCAGGGACACGGGGCACGGGCGTGAGGGGAGGGAAGCAGAGCTGGGCCAAACACGGCACCAGGCTCTGATAAACCAATCCTGGCTCCTGTGAGCAAGGCCAGGAGCTCTGCTGGGGCACCAGCCCAGGGCTGCAGCTCAGCTACCAGCCCTCAGCATTTCCTCAGCAGCTTCCCTACTCCCACACACACAAACCCCTTTCTTGCAGCACACGCAGCTCCACAGCACACTCCTGCTCTCCAGACCGGCACTGAACCAGGTGCAGGTGCTGCCCTCAGACCAAAACAGTCCTGAGAAGGAACATGTGTGCCAGCACAACCAAACCACCCAGGTGGGACAGGAGGGAAGCTGCTCCTCACCATACCCAGCTCTGCACTGGTTTCCTCTGTCTTGTCTCACACAGAATTAATACGGCTCCAGAAAGGGTCTGGGACCAGGAAAAAAACACCTCCATGAGGTAAGAGACTTGAAAAAATGAAAGACAAGAACAGAAGCTGAGCACAGCGTGCTGAGCACAGCCTGGGGCACACTCATGGGAGTCTTAGTGATGGACAATAAAAACCAAATAAAGAAAATTTTTAACGAAGGGCTCAGCCAGGCAGCCTACAGACTTCTTGCAGCAGCAAATCCCAGAGAAGCAAAGAGGATTAGACATGTATATGGACAAGGGCCAACTTTCCTAGTGACACTGAACAGGACTGAAGGATTTTTTGGAACAGGCTGCAGTCCAGGAGGCAACTGCTCCTGCAGGCAGGGACCAGCTTGCTGCCAGCACATCCCACTGCTGCTCAAGGCTTCAGCCCCCTCTGGACCTCCTGGTCCTAGCCCATCCAGCTGGGAAAAGCCTGGGCAGGCCCCATTTGGCCAAGCAAACCCAACATTTCATCTTACAGACCCACTGGATACCATTCCTCTAACCATGGGGCTGCCCAGGGCAGGCCCCACACTCGCGCTCCAGCCCCTGCCCACAGCTGCCAGCTGCCCCTGCCCTGCTGCCCTGGGCAGGGTGCCCACAGCTCCCTGCCAGGGAGGGGCCTCAACACCTCACTGAGCTACACCAACTGCCTGATCCTAATTAGTGCTCAAGAACAGGGCTGGCAGCTGACTAAGCAGCTCCAGGAGACTGGGAGGGAATGAGCCTGGCCAAGAGGCTTCAGAAAAACCCCAAAGAGAACATCCTCAGCCCCATGGAGCTCCCAGGGTCTGCAAGAGCAAAGTCACATAGCCTGGAGGAATCCCATCAACATCCACCTCCCCTGGGAGCCCTTCTGCAGAGGTGTTCCTGCTGCAAGGAGATCAGCTCCCACTGCCTGATCCTTGGCATTTCCTCCTGCCCTTCTGTAGCCACTGCAATTCCCAGTGCAGGATCCAACTCCCTCAGCACAGCCCCACAACACACCGGGCACGGGCTGCTCGGGGAGAACCCCCTGGGCAGCACGGGGGCTCTGGCAGCTGCCAGCCGCTGTGACAGAGCTGTCACACTGCCCCAAAGTGCTGCTCAGCAGGGAGCGCAGCTGTGACCACACCAGGGCCACCCCCGAGCCTTCTGACACAGGGACAGCCCTGCCAGGCTCTGCCAGCTCTGCTGGGAGCCCACATCGAGTCCAACCTGCCCTGGTGCTGCAGGGCAGCTGCTGACTCAGCACCTGTGCCCAGTGCTGTCCCAGGGCCACACGTCCCCCAGAGAGCACGGGTGTCCCCCAGAGAGCACGGGTGTCCCTGCAGAGCCCAGCCCCAGCCAAAGGCGCTGGTGGCAGGAGAAGGGACAGAGCTGCAGCACAGGGGCTCCAAGTGCCAGAAAGGAGGGACCCAAGGCAGGAGTGACTGCACAGATGCCATGGAGGCTGGGATGCAGCAGCTCGTGGGGACTCACTGCAGCTCCCGGGATCGCCCTGGACAGCAGCTACAGAGAGCACCTGCCCAGGGAGCTCAGGAAACCTTTCTGTGAGAAGAGGGGAAAGGCAAAGCATTTTCAGCATTTGGACCCCCATTTCTGCAGGGTCCGGGCAGACCCAGAGCCCTTCCCGTGCCCATCTCAGCCCGGGGCACCGGGACACGGCCGAGGCACCGCGGATCGGGGCTGCAGCGCCCGGCAGAGCGGGGCAGCGCGGTGTCGGGCCGGGCTCACGGCAGGCGCCGCCCCGGAGCGCACCTGGGTGCCGGGGCACGTCCCGGGACACGCGGTAGTAGCGGTAGAAAAGCTCCTTCCACAGGAACTCGTCGCGGGCCACGGCGCGCCACTGCTGGCAGACGAGCCCCACCGAGAGCACGTCGGCGTGGTCCAGGTACAGGAAGATCTCGAACAGGACGGTGTCCGGGAGCCGGGGGCAGCCCGCGTCCATCGTGTCATTCTGCCGCCGCGCCTGCGACCGAGCGGGGCCGGCGTCAGGCCCGGAGCGGGGACGCGAACCCGCCCAGGGCCCGCGGCCCTCCCGAGCCCTGCCCGCTGCTCCCCCCGTGCCGTGCCCGGGTGCCCTGGTAGCGCCCGGGGCCGGTGTCCCCTCCCTCGCCGTGCCCGGTGTCCCCGGTGTTCCCCCCGTGCCATCCCCGGTGCACTGGTGTCTCCCATGGCCGGTGCTCCCCCCGTGCCGTGCCCGGTGTCCCCTCCCTCCCCGTGCCCGGGGTCCCCGGTGTCTCCTGTGCCCGGTGTCCCTGGTGTTCCCCGTGCCCGGTGTCCCCAGTATCTCCCGTGCCCGAGGTCCCCTCCCCGTGCCCGGTGTCCCCGGTGTTCCCCGTGCCCGGTGTTCCCCCCGTGCCGTGCCCGGTGTCCCCAGTGTTGCCGTGCCCGGTGTCCCCGCTGTCCCCCCGCACCTCGGCGGCTCCGCTGCCCCCGCCCCGCCGCGCCACTTCCGGCCGGCGCTGCCGGCGCTCCCCCGCCGGCCAATCACCGGGCGCGTCCGGCCGCAGCCCCGACGGCTCGAGCACAGAGCTTCCCGCAGCGTGCCAGACATAGCGAGCCGAGCGCGGCGCGATCGCTCACGAGTGCCTCCGCCCTCCGCAGCCAGCGCTGCCCCGCCCCGCCCTGTCCGAACACGCCCCCGCAGAACACGCCCCCCCGCGGACCACGCCCTCCTCGCACCACGCCCCCATAGGACATGTCTATGTCCCCTTAAGCCACGCCCCGTTCCAAACAGGCCCCGCCCAGCCCGGGAGCCCCCGGCCCGGCCCCTCCTCAGCCGCCCGCCCTGTCCCGGCCCCGCTCTCTGCGCTCACCCCGGCCATGACCCCGTCCAGCCGCCCCCAGGGCTCCTGGCTCCCGGCCGTGCCCGCCTGGCCCCGCCGCTTCCCGGCGGCGCCGGCCTCGCACAGCAGCACATGGCGGCCCTGCGCACCCTCCTGCTCCTCGGGCTGCTCCTCACGGCGAGGGGGCAGAGGGCGGCGCGGAGACGGCGGCCGCCCCCTCCCCAGAGTGCGCTCGAAAAAGTGGCGGCTCAGGAGGCGCTCAGCCTCCACCAGGTGAGGGCTCGGGCTGAGGGATCTGTGGGCATCCGCCGGCCCCGCACTCGGGTGGGCTGCAGAGAGCCGCGGTGGCTCCCGTGCCGTGTGTCCCCCCAGACCCGGCTTTGCAGCCCACCCTCATGCCATCCTCGGCCGGCATGCCCGTCCAGCGCTGACCCCCTGCGCCCTTCCTCCCCAGGCCCACCACTGCAGCCCGTCCCGTGTCCCCCTCCAGGTCTGACCCCCGCTGTCCTCCCCAGGCTCAGCCTCCCAGCCCTCGGTGCCCCCCCACACACAGCCAGGGCTGCCTGAGCCCGGCTCAGCCCCAGCGCTGCCTGCAGAGCTGCCCGCGGAGCAGGGCTGGGGCCGGAGCCTCCCAGGAGCCCCTTCCTCACCCACCTGGAGCTGCCGGAGCGCCGGTGCAGCCGCTCTCACTGTGGGGCTGGGGCTGAGCTCGGGGCTCTGCTGGCGGGGCGAGCTGGGGCTGCGGCATTCTGCGATGCCCAAGAGACACCCAGTGTGGCACTGGGGTGCCCGCAGTGCTGTGGGCAGTGTGAGCCATGGGCAGGTGCCTTGGACAGCCCCTCCATACCCCCAGCCTGTCCCCATGCCAGGCTCATTCTGCCCTGCCACCCCACCAACCAGCCCCTGAAGGGCCACTGTGCCCTGTGTGCAAGGCTGGGACAGGAACAGTTCCCAAGGAACTGCCGTGGGCAGAGCTGGCAAGTGACAGGGAAGGTGCTCAAGGTGATTGAGTGGTGGCACCCCAGGCTTGTGGCCCTGCAGATGGTGCCACCCCTGTGCCGTGCAGCTCTCAGGGAAGTGGTTCCTGGTCGGCATGGCCTCTCGCTGCAGCTACCTGGCAGAGCACAGCCACCAGCTGGAGGCCACGACAGTGACAATGACCATCCTGGATGGGCAGAGCCTGGCCATCAGCACCTTCAGGAAGCTGTGAGTGATGCCAGGCACGGGGGCCGTGGGCAGAGACAGGGATGCTGCAGGCAGGGCGGAACAGGACCAGTGCCTTGGGATGGGGACTCTGAGAGCAGCGCCAGTGCCCTGGCCACAGGCTCCAAAGAGGACAGAGCTGCCCCAGAAGCACATATGGGTGGGATACCCTCCAAGGAGTTTTGTAGCCAAAACCCTGGCCACGATGGGTGCCCTGGTCATGATGGACACTCTGCCACCCGCATGTCCACTAGCCCAAGCCGAGCTGGGGGTGCCCAGGCTGGTCAGTGTGAGGACAGCCAGGCTGGCAAAACTGAGACATGTGGTGGCTCTAAGGCTGCCCAGCCCAGGACTGGCTCTTAGGACTATCCTAGGAGCAGCCTGTCTGAGGATGGGGACCTTCAGCACATCTGTGAGCACTTTCCCCAGCCTGATGGCCCCTAAGGTCCTGACCAGGCTCAGCGTTGCAGGGAGGTGGCAGGGACTCCTCGAGCTCAGCATCTCTCACAATGTCTCCCCAGTGTTCTGGGACATCTTTCCCTGGGGAGAAAACCAAGTCCCAAGGAAACAGCATGTGTGCCTTGGCAGGCAGGGTTGCAGGGATCCTAGAAGATCCTCCACAGCCTGTACTGACATCTCCTCCTCCTCTCCCCCTGCAGGGACAGGATGTGCTGGGAAATCAGGCAGCACTACCTTCCCGCCCAGGCCCCCGGACGCTTCCTGCTGAAGGGTGAGGGAGACTGCTCTGGGGTGGCAGGAGGCTGCTGGAGCCCCCAGTCCTGCTCTCAGCAGGGTTTTGGTACCAATGTCCCTCTTCCCTGTGCACTCCTAGTATTCTGTGTCTTGGGTCACTAAGTGCCAGATGCCATCACAGGTGACACCATGGGCTGGTGCCTGTGGGGTTGTCCCACTCTGGCTCTGATTTTCACCCCTTGCACACTCGGCTTGTGGTGAAATGAAGCCTCTGGATGATGCTGGGGCTAACCAGGACTGACTGGGACTAGCTGGGCTATCCTCTCATCTTTCCCAGGCCATAGGAAAAGCAGCAAAGTGGATGTGGTGGTGGGTGAGGCTGACCCCAGCAGCTTCATCATTCTCTATTACCAGAAGGGCCGCAGCATCTCTGTTAAGCTCTATGGTAGGTTGGGGCTCGGGGTCTCATGGCAGGTGAAGGACAGGGGTGGGAAACCTGTGCTGGACTCTGGAGAGGCCCGCTGAGGCCTTGGAGGCCCCAACATTGGAATGGGGGTCACTCCTAGCTGGAGAATTGTTCCCAGATGCTGTGGGGGAGCGGGTGAGGGGGAAACTGGGAACCCACTTCTCTGAGCTGAAAGCCCCCTGGGCCCTGTGTAGGGACGTGGGTGGCTTTGGGCCAGGGCCAGCTGGGGCCTGCAGCCAGTGCTGGTGTCTCCCCGCTCGCAGGACGGAGCAGCCGCGTCAGCGACGCCGTCGTGGACAAGTTCGAGCAGCGCGCCAGGGCCGTGGGGCTGAGCCAGGATGTCACCTACTACTTCCCCACCTATGGTGGGTGGCACACGCTCCTCTGGGAGACCCGTGTGGGCTCTGTCCCCGTGCTCTGGCCACCCCAGGGACAAAGATGCAAGGATGGGGCTGTGCCCTGCAATGTCCTGGGGGTGCAGGGGCTGGGGGGTGCCAGGTCCCAGACAAGGTGATCCCCCTGGGCTCTATCTCTTTCAGGATTTTGTGACTCTGCAGATGAGTTTCACGTCCTCGATGGTGAGTTGGGGATGCTGGGTGATGCGCTGGGTGCCCCCATGTGCCAGGCTTGGTCCCTCACTGGGCACCAGCTGGGTGTCCCTGTCCTGACAGTGGGCTGGGCACACTGGGCCAGATCCACGCTGCACCGTGGCTGTGTGGTCCTGCCCCAGGAATATGGGAGGGCTGGGCTGGCACGGGAAGGGCCATGCCAGACCATTCCCTGGGACAGAGCCTGTGCCCTTGTGTGGCAAACCATCACTCACGATGGGCATCAGGTGGCAAAGGAAACCCCGCTCACTCGCCACATGGGTCAGACTGGGCTTGATGGATCTATATTGGTGTTTCCTGGGGTGAGGTCTGATCTAGGATGAGATGTCCTGGCACAGGGGCACCCTGGGGTGAAGCCTGGGGTCCTTGGGGACAGCTCCATAACTTGTCATTGGTGCTTGGTGAGGCAGAGGTAGGTCTCCAGCCCTGGTGCTGGGCTTGGACACCCCGCCCCAGCCCCTCAGCACTTCTCTTCCTTCCAGAAATGAAGCTGTAGGTGCAGATGGACTTGCCAGGGGGTCCCAGAGCTCAGCCCCCACCTCAGCCAGCTGCCCATGGCCACACAGACCTGAGCTCCTCAGCCTCTCCAGCTGTGCTGGCAGCTGTGTCTGTCCTTGTCCTGTGCCCCCCCAGCTTGTGTCCCCCCTCTGCTCTGTGCCTCACTCTCCTGCACGAGCCAGCAACACCCCAATAAATGCCTCAGAGAAGAGCCTGTGTACAGGCCAGTCACCTCTTGGTCTGCCCCAGCCAGACCAGCACTGCCTGCACCATGGCCTGCCAGTGCTTTGGGCATGTGCTCCTGGCTGGGGGGTGCCAAGAGGTGTTGGGGGGACTCTGCAGACCCCTTCCATGCAGACCCCTGCCATCTTCTCTGCGAGCCTTCCTCAGCCACGGACAGCAGGGCAGAATTGTGGTGATTCCTGGTCCAGCTGGCAGAGGCAAGCGCTGAGGGGCACCACAGGGAGCCTGGGGCCACAGGGAGCATGGACTTGAGGGCTCTGAGGGAGACCACAGCATCTGCCTTTTCCCCCAACAAACTGGGAGATCACTCGGGGACCCGGCGGAGGAAATCTTATTCCCACAATCCTGCTTCCCATCTCCAGGGCTGGGAAACATCCCGTTCCCCTGCCCCAGCCCTGCAGAGTTCATTCCCCGAGGGGCTGCTGGACTCCTGCCTGCACGGCAGCACCTTTCAGAGAGAGGCAGGGGCCGGGGAGCTGCAGGGTTAATGCTGCAGCCCCTCATCCGAGCCCTCGTCCCCGTGCGGAGCCCGGCCAAGGCCGCGGGCAGGTGCGGGGCCCCGCGGGGGGAGCAGCCCTCTGTCCCCACAGCAGCATTTTGCAATCCTAGCGGGAACTGGTAACACATGTTGTTTATCAGGGAATTATGTAAGGGAAGCCACGTGATGTGCCCGGAGCCGGTCCGTGTTCCCCCCACCCAGGTGCGGGGCAGCCGAGCCGAGCCCGGCCGCCCCCGAGCCTGACAGAGCCGGGCCGTGAGCAGCCAGCTCATTTTACCTGCGCTGCCAAGGGGCTGCACCGGGCAGGGGGATCAGGGAGGAAGGGGTGAGCCCCGGGGAGCTGGGCTGGTCCCCAAGGATTCTCCACACCCTTCACACCGGCTCAGCCCGTCCGTCGTTGGGGCTAAACCATTTCTGGGTGCAAACACCCAGGTTATGCCCAAGGGTCTGTGTCCAGCCCCCCCGGGGATCCACAGCCCAGATACCCCGTCCTGCCCCCAGCCCTGCTCTTTGTGCCCCTTGCCACCGTTGGTGTTCCCCCGTGCCCCCAAGTGCTCCAGCTTTGCCACCCAGGTCCTTGGGCTGGCTCCCAGCTTTGCCACCCCCAGGACAGCCGAACACCACCCGGATATCCATCGGGTGCTGGGCAGGGAGCTGGGGGTACCTGGCAGCAGAGGGGGCTTTGTGTTCCTGTGCCAGTGCCAATGACGGCCCGGGTGTTCCCTGCCCCTGTGCCCGATGGAGACAGTCTCCCCCAGCACCCTGAGGGTGAGCTCCGGGGCAGACTGAGCCCCAGCCCAGCATACGAGGCCTCAGCCAGGCTCTCGTGATGTCCAGCCCTGCGTGCTCAGCTTTTGTTTTGTTTTCCTAAGCCCGCGGGGCGGGGCAGGCGCGGGGTGTGCAGGGCAGGGCGGCCTCGCAGCGGGGCGCGGGGAAGGGAATGTGCAGGGGGGGCTGCCAGGGGAAAACCAGCTGCTCTGAAAACATGCTCCTTACGTAAAGCACCTTGGCAGGGCTGCGCCGCGGGGCTGGGGCTCTGCCCGGCATGGCCAGCCCTGCCCAAACCCTGCCAGACCCATGGGCGTTGCTGCTGGCACCCAGCATACATCCGCTGCTCTCACCCTGCAGGGGCATCCCCAGACTGAGGGGGGCACCTTAGTACCCACTGGTGACCCCAAACCAAGGGGCAAGGGCATCTCCAGCCCCTCTTGTGTAAGGGTGCAGGGTGGTGGAGCGAGTGGGGTGTCAGGTTCTAGGGTGCATCTGGCTGTATGCTGGTCCCCAGGGAGCTGAACATGGGGCTCCCCGGCTCACCAGTGGACGCACCCCAAGCTAAGGCCAGCAGAGATACTTTCTTGGGTGATGCAGGTACTTGAGTCAAGGCAAAGCAAGGTGTCCTGTAAGAGCACATGCAGGTGTCGAGTCTCATGGGTTGGGTTGGGTTGGGTTGGGACCTGGCAGACACTGGACATTTCCTCCATCTCACTGAAGCCCCACTCTGGGTCCGAGTGAGGCCTCCCGGTGTGGATGGGGCAGCGCTGGCCCCTCTCCGTGGCTGCTCCCCCCGCCCGCCCGGCAGCACTGGGGGCAGGGCAGCCCCTGCGCTGCCCGCTGGCTGTTTTCACTGCAGAGCAGTTTGGCACCCTGGAGCAAATATGTCATATCAACAGGAGGGAAGCATTCACAGGATCCCCTGCTTGCCCTTTGGCTTCAGCGCTCTGTGCTGCTCCAGCTTGCATAACGGCACGGGGGGAGGCAGGGCTGGCTCCCGGGGGCCCCGCAACGCCTGACCATAAATAGGGGCTCGCCAGGCTCTCCAGCACTGCAGCGCTCTGCCTCCAGCTCTCAGCTCGGCTCGGCTCGGCTCTGCCATGCAGACCATGCTGCTCAGCATCCTGGGGCTGGCCCTGCTCGGGACACTGCACGCCCAGGACAGCATTCCTGTCCAGGCTGACTTCCAGCAGGACAAGGTGACCCAGGCCAACCGGCATCACCTCCGTGGAGGTTTGGGCTGTTTTGGGGGATCCTTGCCCTGAAAATGTGGGGAGGGGGTGGTGCACGTGGATGGGGGGCCAGGCTCGCACTGGTGCACATGCAGCCTCCCATCCTGGGGACCTCCCAGCACGTGGGTTTGGTGGCTCTGAAGGGATCCAGCATCGAGGCTGTGGGGCAGGACCCTGGGTTGGGCATGGGGCCGAGCTGCTGCTGTGCTGTGGAGTGGGTGTGGATGCACAGGGAGAGAGAGAAATGCGATCTCAGTCTGATAGCACAGAGATGGGCCATAGGAACCCCTCTGTCCTGGTTTAGGACAAATTAGGGGAAATCTCCAACCACCCCTCCCCCCCCAATACCGGGTTCGGGAAGGAATTCCTTGGAGGAGCAAAGTGGAAAACAAAACCTATTTATTGGCAAATAACAAAAGAACACTCCCCAACACAAGAAAAGAAAAGAAAACCAGTCAGTGTTGTGGAGGGTGCCGAGCGTCTCTCGCAGGCTCCGGAGGTCCCGCCGGACGTCCCAGGTCAGGTCCGGAGCCGGTCCAGTATCTTCAGGGGAGGGTAAGAAAGAGAGGACGAAAGAAAAGGGAAAAAAAAACAGCACAGAAAGCAGCAAAGGGAAAAAAGGCAGCTATCAGCTAGGGCTAAGGCAGCAGCAAGCAAGCGAAGTAGCAAGCAGAAGCAAGCAGGCCAGCCAGCCAAACAGCCAAAAGCCAAAAGCAAAAAGCCAAAGTACACCCAGTCCCCCTCCCTCCTCCCTCCCCGCCCCGCCGCGGCAAGACGGCCGGGGGGGGGGGTGTGAAAAGAGAGAGAGAGAGAGAGAAAAAAAACACAGCTGCCAGACATAATACACGATATTGGGATAAAAGCGGTCATCCCATGACACCCTCCCTCCCCAGTAAAAACGCCAGCCCAGGGCCACAAAAAAACAAGGGCTGCTGTGCTGGGATATCCCCTGATCCCTTCTCCCCTGGAAAGGTCCTGGGGGACATAGTCACCCCAGGCAGGTGATGAGGATGGCGGGAGGCACTTCCTGCAAGGACAGGGGTTTGGGATGTGCTGCAAGGGTGATCCCAGCACAGCTGCTCTCCAAGGTGGGCAGTTTCCCTCAGGGGCATCACACTGGGTGGCTCCATACACCAGAATGGAATGAGCCATGCTGGACCCAGAGTCCTGAGCTGTAGCAGCTCCCTGTGAAATGACGACCTTGGGACGCTGTCCTGCTGTAGGGAATGGGCTGCCAGAAGAGAGGGACATGGCCCAGGCTGGGGCTGGTGGGGGCTGGGGGGTGAGACAGGGTCTGTGCCCAGCTGGGGCTGAGTGGAGGTTGTGTGCAGCTCACAGGGAGATGGTACAGCATCGGCCTGGCCTCCAACTCTAACTGGTTCAAGGAGAAGAGGCACCTGATGAAGATGTGCACAACCATCATCTCCACCACAGCAGAGGGGAACCTGGAAGTTACCTCCACCTACCCCAAGTATGGGGCATGGGGAGCGGGTGAGCGGGGAGGGGCTGCTGGGGGTGGCCACTGGTGCATCCCCTGCTGCTCTGCTTCCCAGGGGTGACCAGTGCGTGACGAGGAACAGTCTTTACACCAAGACAGAGCAGCCCGGGCGCTTCAGCTACACCAGCCCACGTGAGTGCTCAGCTTCCGTGGGGCAGCCCCGGACATGCTCCCAGCCCTGCTGTCCCTGCTTCTGCCTTGTGGCTGATTTGGAGCTCAGGGCTGAGCTGTGCCCCATGTTCCCCACAGGCTGGGGCAGCAAGCACAACATCCACGTGGTGGAGACCAACTACGAAGAGTATGCCTTGGTGGCCACCCAGATCTCCAAGAGCACTGGTCCCTCCACCATGGTGCTGCTCTACAGTACGTCTGCCCCGGGACCCCCATGCTGTCCGTGCCCCCCGGATGTCTGTCTTTCCCATGAGAGAAGGGCAGGGTTAGGGTCATTTCCCAAGCTGGGGTGACCTTGCTGGGTCAGGGCCCCCTTGCAGGGCTGCCTGTGCCCCTGTGCTGGGGGGTATGGGGGGACTTGCCTCTCACCCTGCTCTTGGCTGCAGGCCGGACAAAGGAGCTGAGTCCCGAACGCCTGGAGATGTTCACCCAGTTCTCCAGGGAGCAGGGCCTGACCGACGATGAGATCCTCATCCTGCCCCAGACGGGTGAGCCTGGGAGTGCAGGGATGGTGGCGGGGAGTAGGGGCTGAGATACCACAGGGGGAGAGAAGGAGGAGACCCTGCTGGCCTGTCCCTGCCTCTCCATGGGGCCAGCCATGGGGTGCCCCCATTCGGGATCCCTCAGGGGAGCTGAGTTCCCACAGCCCCCAGAGGAGCTGAGCTGATCTCCCTGTTTCTTCCTCCTGCAGACAAATGCATGGCAGATGCTGCTTAGGTGAGTCCTGCCTTCACTGGGGCTCAGATCAGCCCCGTGGGATGGTGTGGGGATGCTTAAAGCCACATCACCCCACAGAGCCCCCAGCCCCTCCACAACCCTTCCCTGGGTTGCTGCTCTCCTCACATCGACTGGGGATCCCCCACCCAGCCCTGTGGGGTGTCTACCCCCTCAGTGTGAGGCTGGCCAGGCCCGTGTCACCTCTGTGTGTTACCTGGTGTCCCTCATCTTTTCCAGGCAGAGCCACCAGCTGCTGCCAGCCCGAGCCCCAACAGCAACGCAAGCTGGTGACCACCCTGCCCCATCTGACCCGCAGTGGCCCCCCAGCACCACAGCAGCCTTCGCTCCCTGTCTTCACAATCCACACCTGTATCCCTGTCTCCATTAAAGCCCATAAAAAAACAGCCCTTGCCTGCTGCATTGTTGTGGGGCAGGCCCAAACAAGGCAACGGGCAGGGGAAAGCATGGCCAACAGGGTTGGGACTGGGCTTAGTGGTCAGGGCTGACCCCAGCTCCTGGCTGTGGAGCTGCTGGGGTGAGACCCCATGTGCACTCACAGCGCTGCCCCATGGTGCTGCCTGGCCACTGAACCTGGCCTGTCCCACAAAAAAGGGTCCCTGAGTCTAGGACCCCTGGGCATCTGCTCCCCCTCTGCTCCTTGGGCACCCTGGGCTCCCCTGACCTCCCTGCCTTGGTTTTCCTGCTGGAGAGCAGGCTGGCAGCATGGGAATGGGGCAATGGGCAATCAGGGGGTCTTCAGAAGTCTGGGGAAGGATGGACATGAAGAAGAAGGATGTCTGTGAGCTCTGGGTGTGGCTTGATCCTGAGCATCTCCTGGGCTCCATCCCATGAACCTGGACCCTCTCCAGCAGTGGGGTCTGAGCCTGCTGCTACCAGCCTAAGAAGCCACCACCCCTTCTGAGGGCGCTGGGCTGTGGCTCAGCCTGGGGTAGAACACCAACATAACCATTCTCTGGCACTGAGGACCCTGAGGCAGGATCCATCCCACCACTGACGGACCCTGGAACCAATGGGAACAGCCAGGAGGGAGCCCCGTACAGAGCGGACACGGGGCAGCACTGGGTCCTGGCGTGCTCTGGGCTGGGTCTCACACAAGGCTGCATTCATCTGGAACTGGGGGGGACAGGGCCAGCACTGTCACCTAAGCCAGGCACAGGTTATCCCTGCTCTTGTGTAACCTGTTGCATAAAGCTGGCGTGGGCAGGAGTGCTGCCAGCAGTGGGGGCTATAAAGTGGGCGCAGCCTCTCCTGCCCACATCCACTCCAGGGTGAGGATGGCAGCAGCGCTGCCCAGCCTGGCTCTAGCCCTGCTCTGCCTGCTGCAGGCAGGAGCCCAGGTGCCCGTGCAGCCGGACCTGGACACTGAGAAGGTAAGCACAGCACGGTGCTGCCCAGCACATCCTGCCTGGACTGGAGGGGCTGGCTGGGGCAGGGGGTCTGTGCTGCACCCCCGGGCACCTGCCAGCCCCATCCCTGAGCCAGCTCCAGGGCAGCTCCCAGGAGAGCCTGTGCAAAACCAGGTCAGTCCTGGAACTGTGTCCAGCACCAACAACAGCCCTACCGCACGGACACCAGCACGTGGGGCCATGATGTCTGCAAGCATGTGGCACTTTCCCAGGGAACATGGGTCAGGTGCTTCCCCTGTACACTTAGCATGGGGCAGGACAGGGGGTTCTGCGTGCAGGAAGGTGGCAGTTCCCCATGTTTGCCTGGCTGTTCCCCACAGAGGGTGGCAGGTCTGCCATCACCAGCTGGCAGGTTTCTATAGTGGGCTGTCATGTTGCCCATGGTGGAGGGCAGATCCCCTCAGATGGTGGCTGGTCCCTGAAGAGGGTGACAGGTCCCCACAGAGAGTGGCAGGTCCGCTGTAGACTGGCAAATTTCTGCAGTGGGCTTCCAAGTCCCCTAATGGAGGAGCGCAGGTCCCCCTGGCAGGTCCCCACAACTTTTCCAAATTCCACCGGTGATGTCCCGCTGCAGTTTGCAGGGGAGTGGCATGTCACAGCCATTGCTTCCAACTGCTCCGTCTTCCTGAAGATGAAGGATGGGATGAAGTCATCCATGGCCATCATCAGCTTCACACCAGAAGGGGACCTGGCCATGAAGTTGGTCTTACCCCTGTAAGTGTCCATCCTGCTCACTGTGTTCCCCTGTGGGCAGGAACTCCCTTCTCCCCCCACAGCAACTCTCCCACTGCTCTGGGTTGCCCAGTTCTGCCTCAGTGCATCCCCCTGGGCAGGCTGGGCCCATCTCACCCTGCTGCCTTCCCATGGGTCTGGTCACATTTGTGTTTTTCATGTTCCTTTTCCAGGATGGACAAATGCCAAGAGTTTGAGCTGCTCTTCCAGCAGAATGGGCAGGCGGGGCGCTACACGGGTATGTGTGGAGAGGGGCTTTGGAGCCATGGGTACCCCAAAACAGAGGGCATCCCCAGCCCCCATGCCTCAGCAGCAGTGGGAGGTGGGCTTGGCCCCTCTGCCTCCACAGCTTAGCAACAGGTTGTGGATGGGTGGGTGGGCACCTGGCTCCTCCACATTGAGCAGGGGTTCCTTCCTCATACGGCCTTCAGGCAAATTTGAGGTTTGAGCACTGAGCTGTGGGCCTCAGCAGGGCCCAGGAGGGCTCAGACTGTACCATGTTACCCAGACTGTCACCTCTGGGGTCCTTAGGAGCACAAGAGAAGAGGAATCTGTGTGTGATGGAGACAGACTACAGCCACTACGCTGTCCTGCACGAGGTCCAGCACAGCGAGGCAGAGCCCAGCACGGCGCTGCAGCTCCTCAGTATGTTGGGAGTGGGGACCTGGCTCCTGGAAAGGGATGGGGGCACCAGCAGCAGGCAGGGACTGGGCTCCCCACCACTACCCAGGACCACCACAAGCAGCACCCCATGTCCATCACCTAGGGAATTAATTTTGGGGTGAATGAAACCTTGCACTAAAGAAATCTCCAGCTGGTTGCGGGTTAAATCAGAGCCCCCTGCAGTGTGCAAGCCCAGCTGCAGCATCCCAAGCCTGCCAGCCACCCCAAACCACCCCAAACAAATGGGTCGCTGATCCCAAGCGGCTTGTGACCCTTTGCTGCCAGCCCAGGGCAGCTGTGGGTCCACCCTGCGTGTTCATGGCTTCACCTTGGCCCTTCCCTGGGGTTCAGCTGCTGCCCCGCAGTACCTGGAGCCCCAGTGTGGGGCTGGCTGCTGGGATTCCTTGCTGGGATTCCTTGCTGGGATTCACCAGCCCCCACTCTGGGTCTGTGGCTGCAGCAAGGGAGCAGGACGTGAGCCCCCAGCTCCTGCAGAAGTTCATGGAGCTCATCCCCACCATGGGCCTGACCCAGGACATGCTGGCCATCCTGCCCAAGTCAGGTGAGTGGCCCAAGGGCACAGGGTGGCAGCTGCAGCCCCTCTGCGTGCGGACTGTGCAGGGGCTCGGGGTGCTGCCAGCTGCACACTCACCCCTCTCTTTGCTTTCCAACAGATCAATGCACCGGGGACATGAGGTGAGTGTGGCCAGGGAAAGCTGTGACTCCCTTTCAGCATGGCCTGGGCTGAGCAGGGACTTGCAGGCCCTGGGGGATCCCCCACTTGCCTCGGGGCTCTGTCACCTTGGCTTTGCCCTGCTCTGACCAGTCATCTGCCTGTCCTCCCTCTGCAGCTGAAGGGCCTCGTGTCCTCCAGACCTGGCGGACGATGGGCTCTGCGCCCCACTCCGTGGTGCTCCTTCCCATCCTTCAGGCTCTGGCAGACCCCCTGCTCCATACCAGGATCACCATCAACCTCCTAAATAAATAGATGCAGCAGCTGCCCCAGAGCTTGGTGCTTTGTTGGCGGGAGCAAGGTGGTGCCAGGGGCACCCTGAGCCCAACAGTCCTGGAGCTGACCTTTCCTGTCAGGCCCCCACATGTTTTAAGGGGCTCCCTGGATGTGATGTTTGCTGTGCCCAGCATGGGAGGATGCGGAGCAGAGGATGGGGAAGGTGCAGGGGAGCCAGGGGAGGGAAGAATGGAGCCAGGGTGGACAGGGGCTGGCACAGCCTAGCTGGGTGGTCAATAGCTCTGGGCAGACAGGGTGAAGCAGTCAGGCTGCCCAGTGCTGCCTGCAGGGACACCCCCAGAAACCCCATTCCCTGCTCAGTCCTCTCCCAGGCCACCCAGCTGGGAATGGGGTGGCACCAGGGCTGCCTGTGGCCGCACTGGGACCCACATGCCTGCCACCCCCCTTGGTCCCCCATCTCACCAAAACAAGGCCATGCTGCCAGGAGCCCCAAGGGCAGTTTTTATCTGCCTCCACCTCCTGCACAGTGAAGGCAGCCTCTGGTCCCCCCTCTGCCTCCCTGCCCTGCAGTCTCTCAGTGCCCAGGCAGATGTTGGGCTGTGACCCCAGAAGCCTGGCGAGCCAGGCCACAGGGGACATCACACTCTGGGCAGGAGGGACACACTTCCACAGCGACACGAACCCCTTGTTCTGCCCGCGCTGCTCAGGGGGCAGCCCGCTCGGCAGACCCTGCGGGCCCCAGCGAAGGTGGGAGGCCGGCGCAGGCACCGCGGGTCAGGCTGAGCCTGGAAGGGCTGGATTTGGGCAGGATCCCGGCAGCTGCCCTGGGGCACGTTTCAGAAGAAGAACGGGTCACCGAGGGCCTTGGTGAGCTGGGCAACGGGGCTGCCCCGGGGCCCGTGCCGGGAAGAACCTCCCGCTCCTCCCGGCAGCCCGTTGGAAAACAACCGTTCGCTTTGTTCTTTCACAAGCAACTAAAAAACCGGGGGAAATCCCAAATTTCAGCAGTGGCGCAACGGTTCCTGTAACTCCGCTTTGGGGCTGGCAGGCACAAGCCCCTCTCTGCCGCAGGGCTTTGTTGACCCTTGGCTGCCCTGCGGATCGGATCCACCCCTTGCCCAAGCCAAGCCGAGAGCGTTCCCTGGGGCCCGGCACGGCTCGGCACGGCTCCAGCGGGGGCGGCAGCGCGGAGCTATAAATGCGACAGCGCCGGCACCGCTCCCCATCCCACGGCTGAGGGCACAGGAGCTGAGGCGAGATGAGGACCCTGAGGCTGAGCCTGGGCATGGTCCTGCTGTGCTTGTGGCGTGTGCAGGCTGGGGACCCGGGAACGGCGGAGCCGGACGAGAGCAAGGTGACCCTCAGCATCCCGGGAAGGGAAGGGGAAGGGAAAGGGAAAGGGAAAGGGAAAGGGAAAGGGAAAGGAAGGGAAGGGAAAGGGAAGGGAAAGGGAAGGGAAAGGGAAGGGAAAGGAAGGGAAGGGAAAGGGAAGGGAAAGGGAAGGGAAAGGGCTTATTCTCCAGTCACCAGCAGAGCAGGGAGGACTGTAAAGGCGTTTTGGTACTGGGGACAGCTGGGGTCACTACAGCCACCATTTGCTTTGCTGACACACAAGGTGAGGACAGCCACACAGCTCCTGCATAGGTGTCCCTAAGGGAATTTTGTTGCCTGGATGGGATGTAGGTGTTCCATGGACTGAGATTGTCCTGGCTTGGTCCCTGAGGAGGAGACTCTCTAGACTGCTCCTCTGGACTCACAGCCTGCTCTCACTGCCAGATTGCAGGGACATGGTACATCACTGCTATGGCCTCTGACTCCGAGAGCTACCTCCAAAAAAAGGACCAGCTGAAGATGGCAATGGCCAACATTGAGGTCCAGGGGGATGGTGACCTGAAGGTCTCCTTTGCAATTCCCACGTAAGCCCCACATGCTTTTCTCCATAGGCTTCACTACCAAACTCCTCCCTGGACCTTCACTGGCGGGTCTCCACCTCAGTGCACTCACCAAAGATCTGGGCAGGGGTTCTGACAGGAACACCAGGGGCTTGGGACAGCTGTGGGCAACCCATCTTTAGGGCAGGCTCAGGACAGCACTGGCCAGGACCAGTGCCACCACAGAGGGTGGGACAGGACCCTACAATTACAACTTTCCCAGCAGAACCAACCTCATCCCAGAAGCTCAGAGCATGAGTGAGGGCATCGATAATGCCCAGGTGCCAGCACTGTCCCCTGCCACCCCAGATACCCATTGTTCTAAGAGTGGTATCTGTCCCCTCCTGCCCTGGCCACACCATCACATCTCTGAACAGCAAGTCTCACATCTGGGATAGCAGCCCTTGAACAGGGGAGGGGAGAAGGGAGAGGGAGTCCCTTCGCCTCAGCTAGAGCATCCTTCACTGTTCTGCAGCCCTGGGAGATGTATGAAGTTTGAATCGATCTACAAGCCAACAGGCAGCCCGGGTGAATACTACAGCTCTGGTGAGTGGGGCAGGATAGGGGCATGTCCCACCATCCCTGTCTGAAGCAGCTGGCTGCTCCTGGGGACATGGCCCTCAGGACTGCCTGCCCCTCCGGCATCCTGGCTGAGACATCCCTCTGTGTTCAGGTGCCAGCTGCACCCCAGGGCTGGTGGCCCAGCAGCATGGCAGAGCCCCCAATCCCTCCCTCTGCAATAAACACATTGAGACCAAGTTTAAACCCTAGGGAAAAGCAGGTTCCTTCTGCAAAGGGGCTGTGAGTGGATGTTCCCAGGGGATGGAGCAAGGGTGGTTTTGCATCATTCCCAGCCCAAGGAGCAGTCTGACACTGGCCAACAGCCTGCACTGACTATCCACAGCCCTTTCTGCCCTCGCTTCCCCATCCTTCTGCTCTGCTGTGGTCTGTGAGCTCCCCAGGCTTCCTGAGGAGCCTTAGCAAGAGGGAAAACCAGGATGAGGGGATATCAAGGAAATTCAGGCTTGGTGGGCTTCGTGCTCTTTACAGCCCCTTTGCAGAGTGGGGGTTTCCAGGAGGAGGTAATTAATTTTTCTCCACATCCCTTTGCAGACAGAGGCAATAAGACGGTGCGGCTGGTGGATACCGACGGCAGCTCCTACATGGTTGTCTTTGCCACCAGAGAGAAAGAGGGGAAGACCTTGCACATGCTGAGACTTTACAGTGCGTAGCCAGCAGTGCTGAGCTGCTCCAAGGGTCCTGCAAGGCCAGGAGCCAGGGAATGTTCTCTCTCCACTCCTGCCGTGGGTGAGGTGCAGGAGTGGGGCAGGGACTGCGTGTGTTCCCCGTGTGGCAGGGAAGGGAAGGGAAGGGAAGGGAAGGGAAGGGAAGGGAAGGGAAGGGAAGGGAAGGGAAGGGAAGGGAAGGGAAGGAGCAGGGCTTTGGCATGGCAGGGGGGCTGGGGCTCAGGCTCCCAGCACTGTGCTGCAAGTCCATGGCATTGGGTAAGTTTCTTGTGGAGAAGGGTGGAGGGTGGGGGTCCTGCTGCACAGGCAGAACAGAATCAGTGGGGACAGGAACCAAGAGAGGAGTCACTGCACTGGTGTCAGGACCTCTGGCTCATCTTGTTCCTGGGTGGGGTGTCTCATGTGCCTGGCCACCACTGCTCTCCAGGACCTCCACCAGTGCCTCCAGCCTTCTCCCAGGGACTGCCATCCATCCCACCCTCCGGTGGACACACTCACCAGCTTCCCAGGAGATGCAGGGTCAGGCACAGCCTGGAGCTAACTCATGTCTTTGTCTTTAGGCCGAACCCAGTGGGTGAGACCCAAAATCAAGTTGCAGTTCAAGAGACTTGCCAAGCTGAATGGCTTCACCGACGAGACAATCTGGATTTTGCCCAGGCAGGGTGAGCACTGCCCATGCAGGAACATGCAGGCAGGGACCAGCTCAGCCCATCAGTGCCACCACTTCATGGTCTGAGCTGGCAGGAGGGAGTGTTGGCAGCCAGCGGTGCTCTGGCTGGGCACAATGAGCAAGAAGAAACCCACAAGTTCCTTCTGAGCAGTCTATTTTGGGTGCTAAATGGGATTATTCAGACCACAGCACCAGACTTAGGCTTTCTCTTTGTTTCCACAGAGGAATGCAGACTTGGTGAACCGTAGGTGAGTTGCCGCAGTGCAAATTGGTGTTTGCAATGTTCTCTCCTGGAAATTTACCTTCTTGGTGGCCCCAAGGCAAGGGCCACCAAGAACTCTTTGAATTCCTCTGGTTTGAGCTGGTGCTGGAGCTTGCACACAGGTAGGACCATTCCTTTGGATACTTCTCTGCAGCAGGGACCCCCAGGTAGCAGTGCCCAGGCACTGCCAAGGAGCAGTGTCCAGAGACTCCCAGTGGGATGTGCCTGGCACTGAACATGGGCACGTGAGCTGAAACCACCAGAGAAATGTCTGCCCAGCCCTTTGAGCAGTGAGGGCCAGGACAGCATCTCCTGCCCAAGGGACCTTGGGCTTGTGGGCTGGCAAACCTGGCCAGAGTGGGTTGGTGTCTCACCATGCAAACCATATTTGCTGTTGCCCCCCTAGCCTGTGTTTTCTCACCATACAGCTGTAGGAGTTACTAGAAATCCATTGCTGGAGGTGTCTCACCCTACAAATCGGGGGAGAACTGGAGAAGAATGCACTGATCGTAATGGAGAGTCCCACAGGTGTCCTTGCCTCACCCAGACACCACCTCTCCCACCTGTTTTCCAGAAAGTGCAGACTGGCTTGTGGATGCTCCTGCCAAGACCCATGCTCTGAAGCTCCAGGCTCCTGCTCCACCATCCTTCTTCTAAGCTCTGTTGTCAGGACTCTGACACAGTCCCTGCTCCTCCAGGACACAGTCCCTGCTTTTTGCCAAATAAACAGAAACCCTCGCCAGGTGTTGGTGTAGCTGTCTGGGGACAACCTGGGGTGCTGGGGCCTGTGCTCTCTCCTGTTGTCCCCCTGGGGGCTGTGGGTGGTGAACAGCCAGCAGTGATCCCAGCTGAGCTTGCCCAAGTGAGGGCAGTTTCAGAGCCACAAGATTTTTCCCTCCTGGGTGCCTCCCAGAGGGGCAGGACCAGGCCAGGCAGAGATAAGGCAAAGGGTGCAGTGGGGCTGGGAATCCTGTGGGCAAGAGGGGCTGCATGGAAAAGGCCACTGAGAGGGTTTGGAGGGCTGCATCCACCCGCAGCATCCACCACCTCTCCTCCTCTTGCCCTGCAGTGGCTGCAGCTCTCTGCTCCCTGGGAGCCCCAGGAGCTCATCCAGCAGCTCAGGCTGAGCCAAGGCAGGGCAAGATTCAGATTTGGGACCTCTCTGCCCCACTGCAAGCTGTTGTGGAACATGGCTGTCTGAATCCTCTGGAGCCAAACCTGGAGAGCTGCCTGTGGTTTCTGGGCAGCACACAGAGAAAAGCCCTGCTGGAGCTGGGCTGTGAGGACACACAAGCTGACAGTTCAGTGTTTGCTGGGTGTTTGCTGAGTGCAGAGCAGGCGGTGGGTCCCCTTGCAGCACTCCACAGTCCCTCAGCCCGTCCATCAAGCTTGCATCTGTCTCTGCAGTTCATCCAATACTCCTTTATCCCCCCACAAACCTGGCCAGATGTCATCATATATCTGATAAAAAGGGACTTTTCTTCCCTGAATGTTCCTAAGGGCTTCCTGGGTTTAGGCACCTACTCAGCAATGGTGGCATCCTGCAGCAAGGAGCTTCACTTGCCTCTGCTCTCCCTTTTGCTTGTCGTGCTGATTCCATCTTCAGCCGCACAGCCAAGGGCCATGGAAACATACCAGGGCTGCTGGTGCAGTGAGGATCAGCCCAGACACAGGGGCCCAAAAACTGATGGAGACAGCAGAAGGGTGTTGGGGCAAAGGAAGGGCGGGGACAGCTTTTGGTGGCTGAGGAGCAGTTTGAGAGCAGCACCTGATGGCTGCTGGTGATGCAAGATCATCTCTATTCGTGCTCCTTATGCTGTTCCAGATCTTGAATCTTTGACAAGCCTCCTTGTCCTCCCAGCCTCCCCTCTCACCATTCTCTCTCCTTGCCCTGTTCAGGCCATGTCCCTGCTGGGGCTGCCTGGCCAGACCTGGACCTCCACCTCCCTGAAAAGGTGTGCGTACAACTGAAACTTACATGGAGCCTTGTCCTGTTCTCTGGTCTTCTAATATCTCCTCATGCTGCCCCCTCTGGCACTCACTGCACGTGGATGAGATGTTTTACCAGATCTCTGTCAGTCAGCACAG